GGGAGGGGAGGGGAGGGGAGGGGGCGGGTGGGCTCCTGGCGACTCCGTTCCCCTGAGCCGCTTTCTGCCCGTCTAGGATGCTGCACGTGGACCGGCGCATCCTGCAGAATGCCGTGCGCAACATCCTGGATGGGGAGCTGCTCAACCGCTACCTCTACCTGAGCACCATGGAGCGCAGCGAGCTGGCCAAGAAAATCGGCACCACACCAGACATTGTGAGCAGGGCCCGGGGGAGACTGTGGGAGCGTGGCTGGCTCTGAGCCGCGGGAAGCGCCGGGCCCCTGGGAAGAGCTGCGGGAAGCCCACCCTCCGACCGTTCTCTGCTCCCTTCCCGAGGGGCGCACTCGGGCATAAGCTTGGCTTCCCTCTTGGCCTGATCCTGTCTCTTCTTTCCCTGCACAGATCCTGGAAGATCTACTAGAGATTGATCGTGTCACTGCCCACTTCTAGGATGTTCCCTCTTTGGGGTAAAGGAAGCAGTTCAACGTCCCCCTTTTCTCCCCAAGTTGCAGCATCCGCCTACTGTGTTGGTCTTTGTTTTTGATATGTACAAAATGGTAAAAATTTGTAAAGAAATGACAAACTGACGGTGCCTGATCTGCCTGTTTGGGGAGCAAGACGAAGTGCCAGAAGGGCCCTCACGCGTATTGCAGAAACACGCCAGGCTGAAATCAGCTCTGGAGGGAGGAAGGGGCCACAGCCCCAAGGAGGAAGGAGGAAATCTCGACCAAGGGTGTCTTTCACTACAGCCCAGAACGGAGTTCCCCTTTTGGGGCTTGGGACTGGAGGCCGTTTGCGTTCCCAGCCTTGCTGCTGCTGAGCTGAGCGCAGGCTTTGGCCCGAGAGCCAGCTGGCCTGCCCGAGGCCCTGGTTATCCAGCCAGTCTTGCTTTGCTCTGAGACTGAGGGGGAGCGGACGGGAGGGACGGCAGGGCAGCGGCGGGTGCGACGAGACCAGCGGCTGTGGTCAGCGACATCTGCGGCTGGGAGGCCACCCTCTGCTGTACGGCCACACAGAAGGGGGCAGGGTGGGGTGGGGGCTCGATCAGGAGCCGGCCGTCTGTGGGCCTTGGAGTGCGTCTGGGGGCCACCCGGGGGGGTGCAGGAGCAGGGGGTTTGTCCCTCGAAGAGTGGGCGTGGCAGCCCCACGACCGTCTCCCCAGGAAGTTCTGCCAGGGCTAAGTGGGACCGCTGCAGGCAGACCAGTTACTAAGCATCTGGTGTGCTGCTCTGCTGGGGGGGTGGGGGGGCAGGTTTTTATCTGTTGGTTTTAAAAAGCCTCTTAAAAAAGCAGTGGGACGAGATGCCTGCACTGCACTGGAGGGCTGACAGCTTCATTGAACAAGGATGCAGGTCTGGTGGCATCCACACTGTAGGTCCCAAAAGAATTCAACCCCTGTGAGCCTTTTTTGGCAAGAGAAGCAGAAGCCAGCTGGGTTTGGCATCTGGCAGGTACCTTGGCGCTCAGCTGAGGCCTGCCCAGGCCAACACTGCAAGTTCCTTGGGTAAGCGCAGCCCTTCTGTGCAGGCAAGGACAGCGGGCCTCTTCGGGCCTGCTCTTGCTCCCGTCCCTTGCACTACAAGCCATCTAATTCCTCAGCGGCAAAAGAACTGCAGTGCCAGTCGAGGGAGAGCTTTAAGCTTTTTAATCCAGTTGCAAAGGCAGAAGTTCCAGGGCCCGTGGGGCTCAGTAGCCTGGTGGGGGGCAGAGGCTGATCCAGCATCACCCTGAGATGTGGCTGCAGGGGCAACGCAGTTTCTCCCCCAGGACCGCCTCTCTGCTTTGATCGCCAGAAGGACCCCCTTGGACGCCTTCTTCCGTGTCCGCCATCCCTCGAGCAAAGCCAGTGCGTGGCCCTTCCAAGGGCCCCAAAGGGTCCGCGCCTGGCCCAACCACCACCTCCCTGCAAATCCCTTAAATGCAGAAGACTGGGTGTCGGGGATGGACAAGCAGCCCTTCTCCATTAATTCAAGTAAGGAGGAAAGAAAGAGAGGCAACAAACTACTTAAATGGCAACACCATTTCTTGCTGGTAGAGTTCATTTTAAGTTAAACGTAATGAGTTGCCCCTTATTAAAGTTTCTGAACTAATTAAAAAATAATCAGACAGACTGTGTTACGGAAAGACTACGGGACTTTCTTGAAAGTCCAGTTTTAAAATCCGTGGGCCACGCTCTGGTTTCTATAAAAGAGGACAGAGTTTGTGGGCACAACTGCCACCCTGCACTCGCCCAGCTGGGCACTTGGGCATCTTCCAGGGCCTTCAGCTCATGCCTGCAGGAACTCGTAGATTTGTTCTTGCTCTTCACTGTATTTCAAGAAACCAACATAAACCAGGAATTGCAACAAGGAGCTTGTTAGCTTCATGGAGGTGATCTGGATCCTGGGCAGGGCGGGAGGGGGAAACGAGAGGATATGATTGGCGGGTAGAGAACATCAGTAACGGGTCACTTGCAGTTTTGGGAGGGAAGGGGGAGGTTAAAAGGCAGGAGACCCCCCACCCCCCATTTTGGCACATGCCTCCCTACTTTACCCTTACCTGAGAGTAAGCTCAAACACAAAGCCATCCCAAACAGCACGGATCCAGCGGATGAGGAAGAAGTTAGCCAGGGCCCCGGACTTCTGGCTGACCGTGTGGCTCCAGCATTTCACCGCACTGTGAAGACAGACAGCTGCCCTTCGTGCTCTTGGCACTAAGAGGATGCGCCAGGGCACACCGGCAGCATGGAGGCCCTCGCCCCTGAACTTGCTGGCTTCCTGCCTCCCAACAAATGGGTTGGCCTGTGCCCAAAGAGAGACAGGCAGACGGAAGGCCCAGGCGGGCCAGCTTCATCCTCTCGCCTCCTTTTTCTGGCCACTTTGCCCATAACTGCTGAAAGCTGAAGCACCTTCTTTCCATTTCGAGATAGCAGCAATTTAAACTAAAGTCCCAAGCTCACCCAACACGCACAACTTGCCAGGATCCCTCTTGCAACCCTCAGCACCCCCTACCCCCAGGGTTTCATACAGCCCTTTGCTTCCCCAGATTGCACTCTGCTGCAGAGTTGTGATGGCTGGCGCTAAATGCAACCCAAACGTCCTCTTAGGGCAAATGCCAGTCAGTGCCCACTTCTGATGCCTCCCCCCCCCAAACCAAATAGCCCAGAGGCTGCTTTCCCTCATCCTGGTTAAGCCCTAGGCCCAGCAACTGCAGAATGAGGAAAGGGCATTTTGCGTTTTTGCAGCTTTAGAGCACTGGGCAGACCCAGCCCATTCAGCCACCACCGGGTTTAAGATTTGGTGCGAACCCATTAAAAAGGTCAGTCTACAGGCAAGGTTGCAGGAATGCAGGCCACCTCTTTGCAAAAGGTTTTCCTGCACCTGCCTGGCCCAGGCCAGCTTCACGGGTTGGTCAGTTAAGCAAAGGGCCCAGTCAGGAAACGCCCTGGTGCTTTTCGCCATAGGGGAGACCGAGTCCAGGTCTGAAAGCACACAGACTCCAGACCATTCATTTCTCTCCAGCCCCGAGGAACCCAAGCGCGGGAAAGAGATGAACGCCTCGAGTGTCAGCTTTCATGGCTGCTATTGATCGATGAAACGCCTTCTGGGTCATTCTATTTAAGACCATGAACGTCTTCCAGAAGTCACTTCACCGAGAGAGGAACCGTTGAGACGGCATCTGCTAACAGCGAGCTTCCTCTCAAGTGTTGCAAAGCTTTGGAACTCGGCAACTTTAAGATGTGTGGACTTCAACTCCCAGAATTCCCATGCTGGCTGGGGAATTCTG